ATAAGGGAGGCACCAGGATTCTCCCCTGGGTGCAAGTAGTAAGGACTAGCAGGGTTGTTGGTTTGATCCACTTTCTCCATAATGGCAAGAAAGAAATTAAAGAAACAAGAAAAGAGTAAAGAAGAGGAAGAGTTTGCAGCGGAATGAGTGGCAGAACAGGCACAAGACCTGCTCTGATACCATAAAGAAAAACAGTTGGCCCAAAAGCTCCCTGACCCACATGCGCCTGAGACAAAAGTCTCGAAAGAAGCTTCTGGTTTTTAGAAGCTTGTTGAGTACGTTCAGCTGCAAGGGCGAGAGGGAGAGCGATCTTCGACCAGCTCCGGCAAGGCCACCAGCGGCGATGATGATGGATCGAAAAGAGGAGATCGGAATGGGTCACGCGTGATAAAGGTAAGTACTTCTTTCTTGATCAATGTTTACAGAGAAGAGAAAATGAAATTGTTTATTATTCCTTTTGAATTGATATCAGTTATTAATACAGAAGCTGGAATCCCTTATATAGGGTTCCGGTAAGCCCAAAGAGTCTCCTTTCCTAACAAACTACCAGAAATAAAACAGAAACACTAAAACATTTAATAAGTTTTATTCTTGTTGGGGGTGGATGTAGCTACTAAACTCTTATGTAATTATAATTGTTTTGAATGATTATATGCTTCTTTCATTGATCGCTAGTATTTTGTTTCTTCTCTTAATGTTGGGTGTGAATTAACTACTCATAGCTTGATAATTGGTTTGTTTGATATTGGAAAATATTGTGTGTATCTAGATCTGGAACAAATTACCCAAAGAAAATTGTATCTAGGAATAGAACTTCGACCTTTGGCTAACTTAGATCTCAATTCTTAAAGCAGATTAACTTGTTAGGTTTTCCTAAGAGATTGAAGTTTAATAAGAAAGTCTAGTCTCTCTCGACCAAGGGATTGAGTTTGATTAGATTAGAATATTGACATTAACATATTAATGAAGAAGACGTAAATTTACATGCATAAGAGTGAAGTAGGTAAAATCATAACCGAACAATACCAATTCATATCATTTCTAGTCTATTTCCATTTCCAAGTGTTTGAGTTACCAAAGTTCACTTTATTATTCATGCTTCATATTTACTTTAATTGCATTAAAACTCAATTTATGAAATCATTCTTTAATCTATATTAGTTGACAATTATACGATTGTTTGGCTTTACACAAGTCTCTTGGGAAACGATATCCGATCTTACCGATTTATTACTTGAAACGATTTGGTACCCTTGTCAAAGTCTCAACAGAAGGTACAACACTCAAACCTCTCTTTCCCAACCCTCACAACCTCAAGCAAAAAGCAACAAACCACGACTTTACAAGTTATGGAAAGAAGACATAACAACCAAACGCATCTCCTAATACTAATTGAATAACGAGATAAAACACATCAACCAACAATCAAACAAACAAGTTAGTAAGATAACCAAACAACTCAGCCACAAAAAAAAAAGCATGACAACACACCCAACAACATAGAAATAGTTTGAAAACACACTCAAAAAACACAACAATAGTCTGAAACACATTCAACAACATAACAACAGTTTGAAAACACATCCAAATAACACAACAATAGTCCAAATAACACAACAATAGTCCAAAAACACACCCAACAACATATCAGTTTAGAAACAGAATCATATCTAGCAAAAATCAAGCCAAACATCACCCCAATATCATCATTATCATCACCCATGATTAACCAAGTCATCCCACAAGTCAGAACTACTATATCTACTCTATTCCAAACTAAAATTCGAGCATTAGAAAATCACAAGCATGTTTTACACGAAGAATATTCTTATTCTATTTTAAACAGAGAAAAGATAATCTGCAAAAGCCTGGACTGCTAAGAATCACAACAATGCAACGTGGAATGGTAACTAGTACTACAAGCAGAAAATAACACATGGAGCTTCATGACAACTACATTGCAAGGCATTTGAAAAGGGAAAATTGCATCGCATGGCAGTAGCATAAAAAGACTACACCACAAAATATATAAAAAAAAATGTAGATGGCATGCAATGAAACAAAATTGCACCGCTAATTAAAAGAAATAGATGACATGCGATTGAAGGAAAATCTGCATTGCTTACTAAAAGAACTATATTACATGCAATTGAAGAAAAACTACGCTACTTATATATAACATTAATAATTGATTCATTTTTAGTTATTTGCAATTCACAAACATGTGTCACTTCAGAAGAACTCATCCTTGATTTCCAAGAATAATATTTTCTGTATATTACTATTACTTGTACGTCCAACTATAGAGTTCTACCACTACAAAAGTAATGTAATATAGGAGAGGTTTTTTTTTTGGGTTTTAAAAGTCTCCACTAATTTTTTGCGGTTTTCGTTAAAAACCGTAGTTAAGTTTTGATTTAATTTTTTAAATAAATGTTTTGGCGGTTAATAAACCAAACCGCAGAAAGTTTTCTTTTTCTAATTTAATTTCTGGCACTTGTTTTAGCATACCGCGTAACACCTCATCTTTTCCATTTTAGTTTTTCTATTTTTTCACAAACCCTAATTTTTATGATCGTGTTTCATTTCTCGTTTTCCATTTTTTTTCCACTGCCACAGCTTGACAATCCTTTCTTTTCCGCTTCTCAGGTTTTCATCAGCTTCCCCTAGCCGTGGTCTCTGTTGGCTCTCCTCGCCGTTGTCTCCGTTGGCTTTTCTCGCCATGGTCTCCGTTGGCTCTCCTTGCAGTCATCTCAAAGAGTACACCAACAATCAGGTTTTGTTTTCATATTCTATTTTTAATCCCCAATTCTATGAACGTTGTTGTTTATTTTGAAACCGCCGAGTGCCATTGACATTCTCACTGAGTCGATTCCATTTGCAATAAGTATGACAAATACGACATCAAGAAGCACTGTGATTATAATGTCTTTGGTGACGATGCGTTTGCCAGACTCTATGCCTTCGTTGACGCTGACATCGAGGCATTGCTTCAGGTATGCCACCGAAACTCTTATAACTCAATTTGTGCCCTAACTGGAGATTTTTTCTACAGAGTCACAGAATTAGGGATTTTTCTAATGGTACTGGAGGAAATTCATATGTATTTCTTTTGATTGTTTGAGCAGAAAGCATAAACTAATGGTTTAAAATACATTAAAACTTTTTAATATATCAATAACGTACTTTGAATGCTTTATAAAAAATTCAGCAAAAGATCTGAATTTCAGGTTTTATGAAAATTTGTCAGGTTTTAAAATTCTATTGAGCTTTTAATATTGTTTCTTTTTTTAATACACATACAGTAATTTTGATGTTTCAAAATATGTTACATTTTTTTAACACACTAATAATGTATTTTGAAAGTTTAGAAATAGTATAAAAAATTCAGCAAAGAATCTGGATAGGTTTTATGCAGTTCTTCATCTGCACACAATTATTGCCATTTATACAATTTTATGATAAGTGATGTTTGATTGTGAATTCTTAAAAGTTGTATTGTTGTACGCAAAAACTTTGGTTTATTCTAGTGAGTTTCCATGCTATGCCGACTTCACGTTCAAAATGAAGTCCAGAACTATATATGTTAAAAAGAGACCTTATCTTGAAGAGTTTTTAGAAAAAAGTACCAGAGATGTTTGAAGTCGTAATTTTCACAGCTAGTAGAAGGTCATATTCTGCAAAATTGCTTGATATTCTTGATCCTCATAATAAGCTTTTTTCTCGAAGATTATGCAGTGATTCATGCAAATGGGAAGATGGTCAATGTCTCAAGGATCTCAGACTTCTTGGAATTGACATGGCCAAAGTCTTCATAATTGACAACACTCCACGGGTATATATATTATTTCTTTCTTCCTTTTAGTCTCTGATGCAGCTTTTTTTTTCTTTACATTTTTTCTATCATGAAATTGTATTTCTTAGTCAGTAACATTCTTTTTAATATAATATCTAACATGCAATCTTATTTAGAATTCAAGTGTACTTACTGGTTTGTTTCAATGATTTATGATGCTGAAATTTGAAACCTGTGTTTATGATAGGTGCTTAGACTTCATGTTAAACAATGGAATTCCTACAAAAAGTTGGTATTGGGACTGCAGAGATCATGCTCTGAGAAATTTGCTGCCATTTCTGGAGAAACTGGTTGATGTGGATGATGTTAGACCCATTATTGCAGTAAGATTTTGGAAAAGAATTAAGCCTGCACCTCCTTCTGCTGCCCACATTAGAAGAAAAATCCTTTTAAGAAACTCCTTCTAATATTCATGTATAAAATGTTTGTTATTTATATAAAATCTGAAACAGATATGTTCAATTCATTCTTCGAATTTGATTATAATTGCATGACGAATCTAGTTGGTTATAATTGATTCTATTGAGTACCTTTTAATCACTTGATGATAATTCCTGAATTACTTTCTAATTGTGTTCAACCCTGGAATTGGTGAAAAGAGTAGTAGCAAAAAGAGATTCTTTTTTATTTTCACCGTACTTCCAATTGAGAATATATCTTTGTTTTATGATGTAGGCTGTTTTAATGGATTTTGAAATGTTTTATTTATTTACAAAGTGCGATCGTGTTGTAGAATATTTTCCCACTTGTTTCTTGTTCTTTCAGATAAGTTGGTTATGTCACCAATTTTCATATTTTATTTGGTAATTTGAAACTATGCATTTTTGTTGTCTAGGTTCTGAAATGTGAGTACGCCGTTAGAGGAGAGGTTGTCACACTTGCTCATGTACTGTGATTTGACTGTACATATTCAAATTAGGTCATTAATGGAAAAAGTATTTTTGCCTTGGTTTATTCCAAGATGGATACATTTTATACCTTAGCCTTGACAAAATAAGTTGATAACTTATAAACTAAGTTCTCCTCTGACATGAAATTATTAGCATGGCTTTTCCTGGAATATAGCTTAAAATTGATCACTTCAGAATTTTCTATGGACAATTGTTGCAATACTTTCTGCTTACAACGCCTTAATATTGCAGAATTTGCAAAAGGATTTACTGGCCAATGCCGGTTCTCATCCATTTGACGAGGTACTTTTATTTTTCAACTATATGACTTGAAATAGAACTTTGTGTTTTTCTTAACTCTCAGGAAGATATGTAAGGGGTTCTATAAAGCTTCTTATGTGCATGGTGTTCTTGAAAGGGGTGAACCCACTGTAGCGGACAGTCTTATCTTGTATTAGAAAAGTTGTAGTAGATTAATTCCACAACTAGAACATCAGCTTGTCCCCTGGTTTTCCCTGACACAATGCAAGTTGCCAGAGGTTGTGGGGATGGGATAAGTTATGTGTCTCACTTGCAATACTATGGAAAGTTATGTGTCTCACTTGCAAAAGCAGAGCTTAATCACGAACTTGCAAGCTTTGGATTGTGCTAAAACTTTGGCAATGAAATTAAAAAGATAAAAATTACTGTTGATATTTGTGGTCTTTGTCACATCATCCTTAAAGACTTTTTCCTACAAGGTTGGTTTATTTTCTCTGTTCTTGTTAGTATAATGAGCTCACACTTAATACCTATAATATTTTATACCTGATGCTAACAATTCTTCTCTCTCCCTTGTTCAACTTGGTGTGGAAATCAACAATGTGGATTCTTCAGTTGGAAATCAAGGTCATTCTACAATGTACACTATGTCGATATAAATTTAAGTGTCACTTATGGGGAAGGAAGGGGAAGGGGCTTCACTTAAGAAAAACTACTGAAGTTTCAAAATACAATATAAATGCTACATGTAGAGAAGTCTTAGAGATTCTCTGCTTCTCACTGCTGATAGATACATCTTCTGTTCTTCTAAAGTAGTCAAATCAATACATAGGATTTCTTCATAAACAAGTTAAGGTTTGGCCATTCTTGTTACATTATGCTGAAACTATCACTGTTAATATTCTAGTGACTGGTTTCATGTATCGCAAGCATACAAACTTGGACCTAAAAATACATAACAGATTCTAAATCATGTTTAACAAAACCTTGATCTTATACAATTTTTTTTCTTATCCTTTTTTGACAGATGCTCTGTGCTCCATACCCATAAAGGTAACGTCTTCCTATAGCACCTTTTATTAGTTGAATGGGTTTTCATACTTAAATTTGGTGAGGTAGATTTCTAGTATCAAGAAGTTTCATTTGTTTTTATGTTTTGCATATTGTGTATAATAGTAGGGTGTGTGTAATTATATTGAAATTTTAAGAATAGTGTGCATCTCACGTTGATTAAATTGAAAGTATAGATTCAAAGATAAAGTAATCTAAAAATTTCTTTTGATGAGTACATTTAAATTGCATTCTACCGAAGAAACATTTATAATTAGTTTAGTAAATTCATCTTATCTTATGTAGTGTATTTCATTGAATATGATCATTTATCCTTCCAATCGTCTTAGCATGAACAAAGGACAAATCATGGGTTTACTAATTTTATGGTTATTTATTGTTAATTTCGGGGACTTGTTTATGTCTTGTTGTAGATCAATCTTGAATATCTTGGACGTGTTGTTTTCAACAATGAAGGCCTGCTTTATCCTGACAGTGTTGTTGGGACTGATTCACATACAACAATGATTGATTGTCTTGGAGTTGCTGGATGGGGTGTTGGGGGTATTGAAGTAGAGGCAGCAATGCTTGGTTAGGTATATTTACTTCCAAATTTTGGTTTATTTTTGGTTAATGTGTTTTGATTATAATATAGTCTTTGATTTCAGAGATTTGCTATACCAAAAGATGTACAAGGAAAAGTTGCAAAATTTGATTTTCATGGGCAGCTAGCGGAGCTCAAACAAAATTAGACATTGTCTATTAGTTTCTTTTTTAGTAATGTAACGAATATATTTTTAGTATGTTAATTTAGTATTGAACATCTTTCTTTTTAATATATGAATAATTAGTTGTATAAATTTATTAATATGTTGAACAATGTAGTTTATTTTAGGGTTAAATATGTTTTTAGTCCCTAAACTATTGGCCGTTTCTAGTTTTCGTCCCTCTTTCAAAGTAAGGTACGATTTGGTCCTCAATCTTTTCGAAACTTTGATTTTAGTCCTCGAAAACTAACACCGTTAAATATGTACTGACGTGGCTAACGGTAGACTGACACACGATTTTTTTTAAGTGTTTCTCACTCTTTCTCCCCTTCTCTCTCTTCCTTCCATCTTCCACCCAACTTCATCCCTGGTTACATCTTTGAGTCTGCATATCAATGCTTTGTTGCTTTACCCATAAAGGAAAAGAGAATCATGAAAGCTGCTCCAAGTTCCACCACCCTCCGACTTGCCACTTTTGTTGTGTCAATTGTGTGAATGTTTTCTGTCAAGGTGGTCGAGCCAGTTCTCGAACCCCAAAGACCAGCCAATATACTACACAAACCCTCCAATGCAATTCCTCGACTCACCACTCCTGGAGTTGGAGGCCTCAAATCGACTCGCAGAGATGCAGAATGATAAGTTCCAACCTGCAAAACCAACTTGTCATTCACTTACTCACAATTTTAGTTTCTGATCATGTTCTCATGGAAAATACAGGATATTACATTAGTTTTATAATCGTGGGATTCATAGTACCATTCAGCTAATATTTGTATTTACAAGCATTTTAATAATTTACTTACTGAATCCACAGAAGCAACCAGAGATACTACGACCATGATTATGCAAGTCCTGAAATGGAAAATCGTGAAACCCCATTGCATCCTTTGTAGTTATATGCTCCCCCAGCTGTTAGAAACGACTCATATATCCATGTTAATGTAACACTCAAGGGAACCTGCAGATATTTGGAAATTTGTAAACACAATTGGTTAGGATATGTTGGTTGGTAGAAGAAATGTAACTCACTCAAGTTGAAGGGAGAGGAATCCAAAGATTTTTAACAGAAGGATACTTTTAAAAACAGTAACTTTCCAAAGAAATTAACATAACTGCTAATAAATATCAGAAAAACGAAACCAGGGATGAAGTTGGGTGGAAGATGGAAGGAAGAGAGAGAAGGGGAGAAAAAGCGAGAAACACTTGAAGAAAAAATCGTATGTCAGTCTACTATTAGCCACGTCAGCACATTTTTAACGGTGTTAGTTTTCGAGGACTAAAACCAAAGTTTCGAAAAGATTGAGGACCAAATCGTACCCTACTTTGAAAGAGGGACGAAAACCAGAAACGGCTAATAGTTTAGGGACTAAAAACATATTTAACCCTTTATTTTATATATAATATTCAGTTTTATTTCATATTATTTTATTGTCTATTTGGTTAATAAAACTGATTTTATTATAATCTTATTTTATTACAATAAAAAACTAAAAAAAAATAATTTGTACACATTTTCGGTGGTTTAAGCAAAATTCCGTTAGTGGTTTCAGTAAAACTCTCGCTAATTCTGGCAGTTTTAGCAAAACTTTTGTTAATTTTGGCGGTTCTAGCAAAACTCTCGATAATAGTGACGTAGCTTTTCCAGCAGCTTTTTCCAGAGATTTTTCTAACCAGGGATAACATACTTTTTGGGGGTTAAAAGTGCTAGAAACAAAAAAAATAACCTCAAGTAAAAATCTAAATTTTTGTAGTGTCCCTTCGCTAAATGATAAAGTTTTATCCATCACAATGGTAAGAAAAAGATATATTCAATAAAATTTTAGAAAATTTAAGTTTTATGAATATAATAAAAATGTAATGTAATGAAAAAGGATATTATAAAACATTTAAGTAAAACTAAGTTTTGAGATAAGAAGTAAATATCTTAATATTTCAATTATATAATATGTTTACGACATACATAAGAAAAAACAATGAGATTAAATGTAGTACATGTATTTCTCAACTTTCACTTATATGATTATTTGGTTTTCTTTTCTACCATTGAAAGGCCTTTTATAGGAAATACTTGTTTGAGGAAAAAAAACTAACAAGAAATCCTAGAATATAAAAAAAGCATTTAAAGTGTGTTAAAGAGTTGGAAGAAAATAATATTACCAAATAAAAGATATGGGCATAGAAAAGAATAATGGACCTTGGAGTTGAGATCGAATGAAAGAAAAAAAAAAAGTAAATTGAAAGTCCTCCATCTCTTGAAAGACTTCGACACTAGAGAAGTTAATTGAAATAAATGAAAAAAAAACATAAAATTCATAAAAAAATTCTAAAGAATGAAAAATTCACATGTAACTTCTTTTCAAGTCACTGTAAAATTTTATATATACTTTTTTTTGAAAGGATTTTTATTTCGCTAAAATATCACATTTTTATGTTGATTTTATAATACTTTACATGTAAAACTGAAATATACTACAAAAAGGACGGACATTATCGAAGGCCACAATCCCTCGGAAATAGTCTGAAGCTGTCAGTAATGACTTATTACTGACGACTTATGGACGACTAGATTACCGTCGGTAAATTCCTTGTCACTAACAGTTACCAACGACCTTTGTCCTTCACCGAAAAGCGAAGACTTTCGGTAATTACCAAGGGCTAAAGTCTTCGGTAATTACAATTTGTTATTCCAGCTTTTCACCGTGCTACCACTCCTTGATTGGTTTATTCCAGTTTGGTCGTTCTAAGCCTTTTAGTTCTACCTTAGTTTTGTGAAATTGCAATTTCTTGAATCAATTTTATCACTGTTCCAACATTTGATGCTATTAAATCTGATTTTGGTGGTGAATTGAAGTGTTTTACTGCATAATTAGCCATAGGAAGGTGTGATTTCGACTTATGCAGTTTCTGTGATATTTGACAGTTTAAACAAGTCCTAAATGTTGATTTAAACTTGTAAGAACATTCAAATTGAAGATAGATTCATCTGTGTGCAAAATAACATGTTCACACCTTATTTTTTTAGTGAAATGGGGAAGTAGAAGGGTGAATCTGTTATACAATTTGATTTTGAACCAAATTAGTGTTCAAAGAAGTTTAATTTGGTGAATTAAAGTTGCTGAAAGTATTATGAAAGAGTAAGAATCACTTGTGCACGAATTCACTTTTAAAACCACCAATCTTGGGTCAATTTTTTGGTGCAGAGTTGAAAAAGGTAAGTGATGTTTTGATGAAGTGGGTATAAAATTCCATTTGGCTTGGAGCAAAACCTGGTTCAGTCATTTAAAATAGAATCAAATGGTTAAAAGAAGCAAAGGAAATTGTTAAAAGGGGATTCTGAACCGTATAGCCCATTCAAAACCCAAAAACACAAAATCTGGGTTTCTTTAAGGCATTTCATCAAACACTTTCTGATTTTATCAAACAGTTTCGTGCCACACATTTTTCAACCTGCATTTTGAGTTTTTCTTGTTTTCTTCATCTATTCTACAACCTTTCCTATAATCCATTTGAGTGCCTACTTCTATTGTAACCTATTTGTATTGCTTTTAAGTTTTTTGGCATCTTAAAATTGTTCAATTCAAGTCATATTTTGGTGTTGTCCAGTGACCATTTCTGGTGTAGTTTTTTATCTGGTTTGGTGCTAATTTTTGTGTGAAATTGTGGTGTTGTGAAGACTTTGTGGTGCAGTCCTATAGCCAATTCAAAGGGGTTGTCTAGCAAGCAAAAATGTGAAAATTGGCAACTCCTATAGCCAATTTTTGAGTTCTAGGTTATTTTTGTAGTGTGAGTTTCTAATTAGCTAGGTTTTACCGTTCTAAACTTGTTAGGACAATTTCTTTGTTGTTTCTTAGGCTAGTTTAGTGCAGTTTGCAAATTTTGACCATTCTAGTGTATTTATAGTAGACCTTTTGAGGTTTTGAGGTTTGCATACTAAGTTCTAAGTCTAAAACCTCTTACATATTTGACAATCAATATCAAACCATTCACAACAAAGTTTGACAGAACTCAATGTATACAATATCATAAAACTCCAATCAACATAACATTCAAACTAGACATTCACAACATTTTAGAACAAGATAAAATTCATGAAACAAGAATGAAAATAATAGAACATAGCACATACAATCATGCAATTTCAGTTTAGTTGACCATACCTTCGCCTTTGTTTTCCTTTCCTGATCAAGTCTTCTCTATAGACTCTCTTCCTCCCCTTCTGGCCACAATTATAACTCCTTTAAAAACTCACCCTAAGACATCAAATAGAAGTGTATTTAGGTTTATTCATTACATTTCGTTCCATTAATTTAATAAGCATAGCAACAGTTTAAGCATTAGCTAATAGTATATCCAAAAAGGAATAACAATAACCAACTCAAACATCACCAAACAAATTTATCATACTACACCAGAATTCAACAAACCAATTTCTTTGAATTTTGACAACTTTTGGCCAAAGAAAAGAATCAAACAGTAGCTGGAAAAAAATTATGCACTAGAGAAAGTCCCTAGTTGGGTGGTTTAATACTAAAAAACGTATGGAAGTGATTTAAACACACAACTAAATGTTCAAGCAACTTTGTTTGATGGTTTTAATTGTGTTTAAACTCTAAAACGAGTTATAAACAGTCTACAACTCAAAATCACTACTCCCCTTCCATTTTAACTCAAAAAGTGATGGTTTAGAAAGAAAATCTTCATATAAGCCAAACTATTATCAAATGAACAGTAATAGCAACTTTCAAACACCAATTTAAACTTTTCAAGCTTTCCAATAGCACAGAAAAAGCATAAACCGAAAATCAACCCTTGTTATTGCCAATTATGCAGTAAAAATACACCATCATACCACCAAAATCAAGTTTCAAAGAAATAAAGGCGGGAACAACAAACAAATTGACTTAAGAAAGTGTAACTACTTGTGTAAATACTTGTGCAGCTACAGACAAGAACAAAGTAAGTGAGGGACATCAACAAAACCAATTCAGACTTTGGACAATGTACTTATGATGGA